TTGTAATTCGTATAGTAAGTATTCAATGTTTTCATATTATACGTACTTGAGATAACGTTGCACCCGACATTCGGTCCCTTTAAGGTCTTTGGTTTTAGTATTAATTTTTTGATATCAGAATCATACACGAATATGATTGAAAAGAGGATTTGTGTACGTTAAAAGAAGAAAGTAACAAAAATAACATAGTAATGGAAATAATAAAAAAACAGAGTTGTGAAAGGTACAGATTTCAAGGTGACCTTGACTTTTAAAAAAAAATATAACCTTTTTTGAATTCTTTTTTTTCCGACTATCGGAAGTGCCTGGAAAATCGTGGGGACTTATTTTTTACCACACTATAGATAACATTATTATACAGTAATAAATAATCCATTATCTTTTTCAGTGTTTATTTTTCAGAATATCAGTTATACGAACTTAATAGTGTCCGACATTTTTGTCAAATAACCTATTTCAACCGACAAAAAACTCCTAAAAACATTTCGAACTTAATAAACCATTCCATTCAATGAAAAAAATCTAGTAATTTGCTAATAGACATACCCAGCGCATGAAATCACCCCGTACAAATTCATTAAGGCAGCGTAAACACTCGTAAATTTCCTACTGCAAATTAACGTTGATTCTATCAGTTTCTTCATTGTACCATAAAATACTCGGGCGGCGTTTGTGAACGCGGTTTTCTTCTTTAAACACCCAATCAGGGGAAAATCTCCTTCATTCGGCCCGAAAAACCAAGCACACCGACCGTAACGCCACGATTCGTATCACGCCGTGGCGAGGAGCACAGCCCGATTTTAATGAACTCCCGACTCGGTATTCCGGGGCTCGTTTACATTGAGGCGATTAAAACGACGAACTCTCTCCATCGAGAGGGACGCAACCGATGCGACCGTTCGACGAGACATTAAGCCGTATCATTTATAATGAACCGCTCGCGCTCGATTAATTAGGCTAGCGCCATATTGCCAAGCAATTAATAAACCCTCGTCAGTAATTACGACGGAAACGCGGAGGGAGCGTACCACACGAGCCTGTAGTATCTTCTTGTGCGATCAATTTACACTAGGAACAGAGGCAGGCCTGCCATCATAACATCTGTTTGTTCGATAATTCATGAACCTCGCGTCGGGACATTCTTCTCCCAGGCGTCCCTCATCATTTTCTACTTATTTCGAGGGGTCTATCCGTGGTGTCCATGTTGTCCTCCGATGGACACTTGTGCTGTTTAATAATTATAAGCTTCTAAGCACGTATCTTAATTAATGTCGGCGCTTTAAACCAGGTATGTTAAACAGTAGACTGTGAACGTTTATGCAGATTCATGTGAACAATTATTCATGTGTATAGATAACATAGAGTTATTATTTCTTGGGGGTGTTAAGGATTCGATTGGATTAAATAGAATATATTAGGTGGTCCAGTAATGCTCCATTATTTTTTGTTAAATTTAATATTTGTTTATAAGAGAATGCAGACATATGCCTCATTAATAATATTTCTTATTTGTTCTCTGATGTTCTACACTATTTTTATGGAGCCAGAGGGCAGAAAAATATACATGATTTTAAATCTATTGCAGTTGAAGAGAGCATATAGTGTTTCTATAGTACAGTCTGGTAATAAATAAATTTGTATAAATGTCCACGGTATAACTGTGACAATTGTTTCTGTGTAACTTGTACAGGTGTTTTGTAGCCGTTTAATGAATGTTTAGAAACATAGAGCTATTTAGTACTGTATTAGTATGTGAAATTATTGCAATGATGTGAATTAATGATCGTACAAGTGATTATATGATAAGTTCAGCAATTAATCGGCGCGCGATAGTTAGAACGATCAATTTTACACGAATAAAAGAGGTTATGCTTAGCATATACGAAAGGCTAAGTGACCGGAATCTAATCCTAAGATCTTAATATACGCAAGATTGGTTGATGGTTACGTTCCATGGTAGCGGATTACATATTAACACATTGACTGCCACAGTGAAAATGGCCGTGTGTAGTCAGACACACACGTTATCTCGTTTTTTAAGTCACAAATCGTCGAAAATATATGCTTATAGTTAATCGAGGCTGTTGGTTTTGTTTTAAATTATACTGCTATCTTAATTTTACTCAAAAATTTTATAATAATATTTAGATAATCCAGCTTCTATACAATGTAAATAATTCAAGAAATCATCGGAGGAACGTGAAATCATAATAAATAACACATTATCTCGATTTGTGCATTCATGAGTGTGCAATACACAAACTACAAGTTTAAAAACAATGCTTTCTTTGGAATATTTTATCTCTAAAAGCGTAGAGATGTTACGAAAAAAATATTCTAATATGAAGCTTAATAAAACAGCATTCTTAACTTCCTCCTTTTGTTTAAACTATTAGATTGAGCTGTTAGTACAACATTCCCTCCCTATAATCCCGCCGTTCGGAACTAACAACGCGCTTATAAGGAGCAGTAGACAAAGTTCTGTATTCATTTCAGTGGTAAGTGTCGTATTTCTGTCTTGATCCTTTCGCAGTCGCTCACTACTGTTACTTTCTCTCCCTTTCTCTCGAAAATAGAGAATATAGCATGCATATCTATACAATTACAAAAACGTCGACGAAACGAGGTTATAGGCAAGAAATATTTGAATTTTCGCTGAATAATACGAAAATTTAGGCCATGATAATTAAATAATAAGAATAAAAGTACCTATTGTACTTGTGCTTGTGGTGAAAAAATATACCAGATCAACGTTAATTATAACAAATTTAAGAAAGAAGGGTATTTCACATATTCATAACTGCGAAGAAAGAGATTTCTGACTAATTCCTATTTTTTAAATTATCGTCAAAAGGTCTAAATTATGATAAACATCCCCGCCATTAATTCATAACTCACGTTATTCTATGTAAAATCTCGTTCCAAATTTCCACTAAGACACGTTAAATTGACAGTAATTCTTGCAATTATAATTTACTTTCCCGAACAACAGGTCCGGCATGGTTAAGCAATCGTGAGAAAGGTTGGAACATTGTGGAATAATTTTTCCGTGCGCTCAAGCGTGCAATGACGAAAATAAAACCTTCGCGGAAGGATTGGCAATGAGACCGGGATAAAAATCATTCGCAGGTGTCCGGTTCCGCGCGAAATCAGAAAAATCATGGTCGCCTACCAACGCGTGACTAAAAAATCCACAAAACTCCCCTTTAACACGTTTACTGCGGAGCAAAATTTTTCACGTAAATTCTAGTATTTAATATGTGAATTTCTTTTACGTGACGGTCACCGGTGACCGACGGTGAATGTGTTAAATGGGTTACGTTTTCGTTTATCGATCGCTTGGAGAAAGGAGAAGCCTTTCTACTGCGATCGATGATATTCGCCGGTGGAAATCGATCGCAACAAACCGGAAGTGAAAATGTACCGCCAGAGTGTTGACGCTCGAATTATTTTACATCGTACAAGGCTACAGAGTAAAACGATGCATACATCAACGATTAATAATGATCGCCGCGACACCCACGTACACGCGATATAACTTTCAATACTGAGTGAGTCGTATAATTAATCCTTGAGGCAAGATATTAAATATATAAATGGAACAAGTTTAAAAGTAGGATTCGTGAAGGTAGATGAAATTAAGAAATTTATATGATTGCGTTACAGATGTATTAAGAGAGAAATATTGTATGACAGTAAATGTGTTGAGGACATTTCAAATTTTTAAAAATTATATCAACAATTTTCTTGTAATAGGTATATTGAAAAGAATATAAAATGGTCAATGTTAGAAGATACATTGTCTGGAACCTTTTGCAACTGAACATATAATTGTATAAAAAACATTTCTAGCGTATTATGCAAATCTATAAAATCATACAAGAAATTTATGTGTTAATATTTATTGTAACAATCCACTAAACAGTTGGTATTTATGAATGAGAAAAAACCATGTGCAGGCTTTTCGATCTTAAAAGGTGAAGAAAGTTCAGTTCCCGATCGTGGACACGATAATCGTGTCACGAGGGCGTCGGACGTGAATCGATCTACGGTATCCTTGTCGAGGTCAGAAACAAATTCGATCCGAAGTCGATAACCCATTCACCGAACAGGGTGCCGGCTGCAAATTCAATAGCCACTTTTCCCAGTCGCGCTGTGTATAGAGCAGTGAGAGGTGCGACCCAGAAAACCGGTGTCGGTCCGGCTAGAACAAACGGCTACCTGATACCGAAACGGCAACGAAAGTGTGTCTGTTGCACTCTTTTCCTTCTTCGATCGATCGATCGGCCTCACCTTTCTACCTCGATGATCCCTTTCGGAGGCATCTAGATCCCGGTCGGCTCGAAGAACATTTACAGTGTCAATATGAAACTGAACTTGCCTATCATTTTTAATTACTAATTCGTATACCAATGACGTTACTATATTATTAATAAAAATTCATTTACATTCTGTGGTTTTAAATTAGAGCTATGTATACAGGGTGTCCCATGCAACTGGAACAGGCTGTACCTCCTAAACGGTTGGGAATAGAAGATGTTATGAGTAAAAGTTAAATGGTATCAGACAGTGCATAACATGCAACTAATTTTATGCACTTTTGTGTATCGGTGCATCAGACAAATGCAACTATAGAACTACATAAAGACATTTTACGGTATACTACTCAGTAAAATTCGTCAGTAAATATTGAAGAATTGGTACAGAAATTGAAAGGATATTAATCATTAACTGCTAACAAAAAAGTTGTTTATTCTCATTATCATATACAGATTCTATAGTTTTTTTTTAATGGAAACGTATATTTTTGACTGCATCAATCGATGCAGTTTCTTGTGCTCCACATAAAAGTACTAACATACTTATGCCCTAAACTTATTCGTTAGAAAGTTATCGAAGCTAAAAGTTCTCTGAATTATTTCGGTCTCTCTGCAAGTGTCCCGGAGTATCTACGTTATGTTCCATTACAATGTTTGTAAACATGAAATTATGTGAATTACCTCGAGCTGCACACCGAAGAGATCTCGCGATCTACCGGGTCTTGGTGCCTCTAACTCCTGCATTTCTGCTTCTCTCTCAGCCAGTCCCATTTCTTCAAAATATCTGAAACAATAGAATCATAAATAACGATTATTTCCTCATATAAATTACTTGAATCTGAATTTGTTAATTAAAATTATGAAGAAACACCCATATTAATTAAAAAAAACGTATTATTTAGTATGAATTTACGTAAGCAATTGATCACCCTCTATATATGTATTTTAAACTTAATCTATGTTAATTAATGAAATTGAAATTTGTGATGAAAATACAGTTCAAATTCAATATATCATCGCGTTCGATAAAAAAGGCACAGATTGGTGAACAGAATGGAGAATATTACTGAAAAATCACGTGTGTTCTATCGACTACTTATTATTACAGCGCCAACCGAGTGCAAACGGTCAAAATACCCAAATAAGATTATTTGTCAGGCAAATGAGATCGAACCACTTATCCCCTCCCTACCAGCCTAACACGTAAAACAGCCGTGTTTATAAAAAACCGTGTAACGGTTCCGAATTGGGGAGCAAAAGGTTAAGAGGCTAAATGGAAAGAACGCCAAAGGTTTGCACACATTGTCTCCCCGCGGACGGCTGTGAATCATACGAAGCACGAAGAACAATCCCAGACGTTTCCAGGTGCAATTAAACGTCTCTAAACGTTGCGTGCTGAGCGCGGCAACAAATCAAGTTCCATCTTCTTCTTTTTTTTCCTCTTTCTCTTTCTCTCTCGTTACGAGGCGGCCGTGCTTTAATGCAATTAGAAGGAAATTGCCGCGAAACCCACGCGCAACAACAATGCGTCCCGGCGAAACAATGGACGCGCTCTCGGTGTGCTTCGCGTACACGGTTTGGACTGTGACGATTCCGCCGACAGAGGAGTTATTTGGTAATTATCTGCAATTAATTTTCGAGGGACTGGGGACGGTTTGATATCATCTACTCGACTTGACAAATCGGCTTCCTTGCCAATTAAAACGTTAATGAAGTATTGTGTATAGTTTATTAGCCCATTAACGTGCTTTTTTCTATAGGAATGAAAACAATTGACGAACTTCGAATACATTGCTGAACTTGGTACCATTTGGCTGAACAAGTTCAAATTATACCATTCGATTCCTAATAATAATAGCCACGTGGCGAAAACGGAATATCAACTTGGGATTATGTATGTTAGTTTGTGGGATTTCAGGCTTTATTATTAATGGATGTAGTATTATACTATGTAGTATAATATTACAGGGTGAGTCAATAAGAACTAGTATCTAAAATAACCCATTAGTTGTATCAAAAAATATTTTACTGAATTATATAGCATTTTAAGGGAAGCATCGGATGGATACAATTTGATTTTATGCTATCTTGTTTTTGCTTAGATGCCAAGGTTTAAAGCACAAACAAACTTGATGAGAAATCGTTACTTCAATTTACACTTCTTTCCTTGAATAATCAAGATAAAGATTATTCCTTCATGGTCATATATTTGTGTCTATTTAGACTGCAGATTTCCCTGGGATAATTACAATTATCTGTGAATGGGTATATTCTATTACTAATTAATTCAAGGATAAAGTTTGAATGTCCAATGCCAGAAACTATAAGTAATAGTTTTTCGTTTGGAGTGTCATGAATTCAACTTACTGGTTGAAAGTAGAATTTCAAAATTTTTCAGTAATAGATAATCATGTAATAGTATTCACATATATCTACTAGAAATTTTATTTTTTTTACGAAACAGTGTCGACGTTCAGTGTTACCAAAAAGGAAATAGAAACAAATTATTCTCCTATTACAATATTTTAGTTCGAAAACAGGTTTGAAAAAAATGGAAATCACAGAAAAATAAGAAATTATGTACTTAACCTTGCTATTCCCCTCTTTTAAATTTGTATTTTCTGATATATGAATGGTTTCCAATAATTAGTGTAATTTATTTATTTATTCGATTTTGAAAACAAACAATTGTACTTGCAGTTAACTTATCCATTTTATTTCAGTGAGTAAGGGGAAACGATTGTACTCAATTCTACGGCTTTATGACTCTGTTTTGTTTAATCGATAAGAAAATGACAAGCTGTTGCGTCTGGAAACCTTCACCGTGGTTCTACGTCATCGATTGCGTTACAACCGGTAGATATTAGCAATCACCTTTTTTCTGCGTTAAGATTTCGTTACTCGAGATGATAACATAGATTTATAGAACCTGTTTTTCCTTAAGCGAAATGCACCAATTATGTTAAAGCTTGTTCTCCTTTAAAGTATACTTATTAAATGAATATTTAAAGTACACTCTCATCTACCTTTCTACTTTTATCTTGATAATCTACTTAAATCTATTGTTTGCAAACCAACTATGTTACGACTAATAAAAGAAGTTTTTTCCTTTTTCTAAATCGATCTTCTACCTTCAATGTTCACATCTACCGAATTCATGTATTCGAAAGTGAAACGGAATGTGGTAATATCATAAATATTTTAGCGGGCTTTCAAATATAATTTCAAGTGACGGAGAAATGAAAAGTTACTGCCTGAATCCTCGAGTACACATCGTAGTTGCACGTATTGTTAACATACAGATTGCATTAAATTCGAAACCACTTTCATTTTATCATTGTTAGCTACCTTAACTTATTTCCGACCGGGAAAATAATATCTGTAAATTTAAACTGGTAGATAGAAAGGAAATATTATTTTAATTGCATTTATGTTATTTAATTTTATTTAGACCATAAAAAGACGAAATGTAGAACTCGAATTTAAACTCAATATTGCAAGACGAAAACGGAAGTAAGATGTTTATGGTTTACATAAAATAAAACTCGTAAATATTTATTATCAACTTGTTTGTTTTTGAAAGTATTATTGTTAGTAGAGTTTTATTCAGTACGTTATTAACTCTTCGTTTTCCAAAAGGCAGGAGAAAGTTATGCGACATTATAGAAAGATTTCTGCTGATGTATAACAAATGAGTTCATATACACAAAGGTCGTGTATGTTACACAAGAATACTTATCTAACTGCAACACTTTTCTGAAACAAAGACTATAGAAACAAAAGAGTTGTTGCCTTCTCATCGGGAGCAACGGGGAATACTGTGGGAAAATAGCACATATTGTTATGCATATATGAATATATTATAGTTGCATATTTGATACAAGATTACAGAATGACTAATAATTGTCCATGAATAAATAATAAACCTAAACATATTTATTAACCAAAGTAGTATTAACGTTTATATTTCTGTTTGGGTCAAATATACAGATTAAGTAAGAAAAACAATCAGACACTATGGTATGTTTAAAACTATTTTCTAAATCAAATTCCATCAATAATCTTGAACATCAACATTTTATTAATTCCCTAAAGAAAAAAAAATAACGTTGCCCACAATATGGCGATTGTAACACAAATTTTTTCTACATATTTAATTTATAAAATTCTATACAATTTTGAATAGAAGAACAGAATCTGTTCAATAACCCAAAAATTCGGCTACTTATTTCTTCAATTTGAGTGAAAAATAAAGAAACATAACTCTTTTGGGTCCACAGAGACCCATCGTCGATCGTGCGAATGTTAAACAGAAAAGTTCAAGACAGGTTCACGAAGATTGCGTCGGCGGATGGTGTACGTGGGTTAAAGGCGGAAGCAAAACGACTCGGAAAGGTGGCAACGCTAACGGGATCACCGATACGGATCATTAGCGTTCCCCGATCCTACGATCGACGGACGGTACGAACGGCGACCCACGAAAAATCGGTCGGGCTCGCGAACGATCTCGAAACCGAGCTCTCCGGCGTTCGCCATGAGGGAATTTTCTCGTTTCGTTTTCCACGCCACGGGGCACCGTGAGTCACCGGCGTCTATTGCGAGACCAGCCACCGCAACCATGGCGGAATCGCGACCCAGCGCATTAAAGCGATTTAGCGAAATTCTTCCTCCATCTCTATCTTTCCCCCTTCGTTCCATTTCGCCGAGCTGAGCGATCTGTAAATGAAACTACGCCTGGAATAATCAGTGCTACGGGTTTTTATTCAGAAACTCTCTCTTGTCTTAAACATATTAATAACAAGCTGAAAGACGGACGCTTTAAAGGATTAGCATGTAGGGATCGGGCAATTAAGAGGTAGTTATTTATTGTTTATTTCAAGTATTATTAATTTATATTCAAGTATTATTAAATTTATAACATTTGCACGGATTTTTCTGGGTCCTCAAGTAAACTTAGTTTTTGTAAAATTTTATAAATTTCATTATCAACATTGAAATTGTGTATTAGTTTTACTTGGGACGATAGGTACTATACGTATACATTCGATGGTTTAAACATTACAAAATAATATTCTTCAGTGTTAGAATACATTGGAAATTAAATATTTTGTTTAATCATGGCAATCGAACTTAAGTTATTACTAAGCATTCTAGTACCTGTAATCAATGTTACATTGAGGTACTTCTATTAACATTAAGGTACAGAAATATATCTGAAATTACTATGTCATCCAAACTCCATGGCCGATAAAATCAGGTTACTCTGTCCTCCTTTTTCTTTTCCCTTCGTTGGTATAATCAAGGTGAATTCACCATATTGAGACGCAAACATGAAACACAGTAAATTGTTCCACTTTACTTGTCATATAAGAAGCAATCGGTCTATTTATCACACTATACATAATGGAAAAAAGTTGCAGGGATTGGACTTAGTTGCTTAATATGTACATAGTACGTAATAGAAACTTTGAGACACTTCGAAAACGGAATATTTTTGTCCCTCCACGTTCACAATTCTTTTTACAAAATTATCTCCAATTTTAACTAAAGTATTAATATTTTTCGTTTATTCCGTTGAAGTCTGTATTCTCCGTATCTACATCATATTTTCCTAAAATCTGAAAACTGAATACAAAACTGGAGCTCCTATTAATGACAGTTATCATTCCTTCAATTTCAGTGAAATGTACAAAATCTCACATGTAGAATAAGTCACGTTACATATTACATATTATTCAGTATCTCAATGAATATTAAAAGAATTGCTTCTT